ATGAAGGTTCGTACTCTATTTATGCATTCAGTTCTTAAGTAAGAAACATTAAGATTAGTGCATCAAAAGACAAAATGTTTTGAATATCATAATGTAATTTTGATTGTCGGCTGTTTGGCTGATATTAATCTGCTGTGTCACAATCCTCGTGAAGGGCTCGTCTTGCTCCAAGTATAGAAACAAACCTGTATGAAAGGGAATACTTAGAAGAATGTCTATAGTGCAGTAACAGGACATACAAAACATATTACTTTCTACAGATAGTTGATATTAATTATGACGTTGCAAATACCAAGATAATAAGCAGAACAACCGTCAGACTGAATGAGTTCTATGTAATGACGCGCCATCTACTCACAGTCGAGTAGTGAGTGAGTAAGTGAATGAGTTTGGTTTACGCCGCTTTTAGCAATATTCCAGCAATATCACGGCGGAGGACACCAGAAATTGGCTTCACACAGTGTACCCATGTTGGGAATCGAACCCGGGTCTTCGGCGTGACGAACGAACGCTTTAGCTACTAGGCTACCCGACCGCCCCCAGTCGAGTAATGCTCTATACTCCGTGTGTCAGAACTCCTGGAGAGGTACCACATGTTTGTTCAGTTCAATACATCGATTAATACGCAAAATCTTTAAAGGTATTTTTACACGGATGTTTGTCAAACATGACATCATGGAAGACATGTACACCGCGAACAATCAGTGTAAGCTTAAAAATAGACAAGGAGATTTTCCACTAATTGCACCTTAGCTGACTCTTAAGAAATAGTTATACAAGTATTGAACGACTACAAACATAGCGCTCACCACATCCCTGTGTAGTTGCGCGTAACACTCCCAAACTGTGCACGTCGGTACAGTCGGGGAACCGAAGATTATTGCGAGGAAAATAGACACAAGGTTAGTCACGGAAAGACACATTTTGCTTGCAGTCAAATTTTCAATCAAGGCCTCGCCATCAAAGGCTAAGTCCCATACTCAGGTCGCATTATGATCGGGTTCGAATCCCGGTTTGCCCCGATTATGTTTCTAGGTTTGTCAGCACCATACCCGTGCTCGTGGGTTTCCCCGAAGTGGTAAACGTCTGAGACCTGCATCACTTCGGGCTTTCCTCCCACATTAAGCTGACGCGTTGTGATATAACTGGAAAACTGTTAAAAGCGGCGTTAAACCCAACTCACTCACTCACGCATTGTGATCACAGTGAGAGAGTGAGTTGATTCTAAAGCCGCTTTGAATATTATTCTAGTTATATCACGGTCACGGTGACCCGTGTGTTCAGACAATGACGACCAATGTACTTCAATATGATATTTAATAGTATCTACATATTGAGTAAAGAAATCTCTATAAACCGGTACGTCAATATCCTTAAATACCTTTGTACTTAAATCCTTGGAATCTGTAAACATTATAGTGAGTGAGTGAGTATGGTTTTACGCCGCTTTTAGCAATATTCCAGCAATATCACGGCGGGTAAACATTATAACCAGTGCATATTTGTTGTGCATGTTGTGTTTATCCCATACTGTGTCCTTGGTGTTGAAGAACACAACATGTCCTGATCGACGAGCTCAAAGATTTGCCATGTTGAAGGACATGAGGGTTTAATAAGCGTGTAATCGATCGTGATCAATGCGCTAAACGTCAAGGAAGCATGGTCTAGGTGTTTGAGGCAATGCCCCTATGGAAACGGGAATGTCTACAGTATCACATGAGTACACGTCAAATACATGAAGGCCTGCGGTGTGGACATTCAGCAAACAGAGCATCACTCCTGTCATCTGGTTGTGGGGGAAACTACACTGATGACCAGGGCCCAATGGCACAAAACGATCTTAGCGCTAAGACGATTGTAAGCCTATGTTAAAGTATTGGAGTTACGATCATCTTAGCGCTAAGACGATTGTAAGCCTGTGTTAAAGTATAGGAGCTACGATCATCTTAGCGCTAAAACGATTGTAAGCCTATGTTAAAGTATAGGAGTTACGATCATCTTAGCGCTAAGACGATTGTAAGCCTGTGTTTAAGTATAGAAGTTACGATCATCTTAGCGCTAAGACGATTGTAAGCCTGTGTTAAAGTATAGGAGTTACGATCATCTAAGCGCTAAGACGATTGTAAGCCTATGTTAAAGTATAGGAGTTACGATCATCTTAGCGCTAAGACGATTGTAAGCCTGTGTTTAAGTATAGAAGTTACGATCATCTTAGCGCTAAGACGATTGTAAGTCTGTGTTAAAGTATAGGAGTTACGATCATCTAAGCGCTAAGACGATTGTAAGCCTATGTTAAAGTATAGGAGTTACGATCATCTTAGCGCTAAGACGATCGTAAGCCTATGTTAAAGTATAGGAGTTACGATCATCTTAGCGCTAAGACTATTGTAAGCCTATGTTAAAGTATAGAAGTTACAATCATCTTAGCGCTAAGACGATTGTAAGCCTGTGTTTAAGTATAGGAGTTACGATCATCTTAGCGCTAAGACGATCGTAAGCCTATGTTAAAGTATAGGAGTTACGATCATCTTAGCGCTAAGACTATTGTAAGCCTATGTTAAAGTATAGAAGTTACAATCATCTTAGCGCTAAGACGATTGTAAGCCTGTGTTTAAGTATAGGAGTTACGATCATCTTAGCGCTAAGACGATTGTAAGTCTGTGTTAAAGTATAGGAGTTACGATTATCTTAGCGCTAAGACGATTGTAAGTCTGTGTTAGAGTATAGGAGTTACGATCATCTTAGCGCTAAGACGATCGTAAGCCTATGTTAAAGTATAGGAGTTACGATCATCTAAGCGCTAAGACGATTGTAAGCCTATGTTAAAGCATAGGAGTTACGATCATCCTAGCGCTAAGACAATTGTAAGCCTATGTTAAAGTATAGGAGTTACGATCATCTTAGCGCTAAGACTATTGTAAGCCTGTGTTAAAGTATAGAAGTTACGATCATCTTAGCGCTAAGACGATTGTAAGCCTATGTTAAAGCATAGGAGTTACGATCATCTAAGCGCTAAGACAATTGTAAGCCTATGTTAAAGTATAGGAGTTACGATCATCTTAGCGCTAAGACTATTGTAAGCCTGTGTTAAAGTATAGGAGTTACGATCATCTTAGCGCTAAGACGATTGTAAGCCAATGTTAAAGTATAGGAGTTACGATCATCTTAGCGCTAAGACGATTGTAAGTCTATGTTAAAGTATAGGAGTTGTGATCATCTTAGCGCTAAGACGATTGTAAGCCTATGTTAAAGTATAGAAGTTACGATCATCTTAGCGCTAAGACGATTGTAAGTCTATGTTAAAGTATAGGAGTTACGATCATCTTAGCGCTAAGACGAGTGTAAGCCTGTGTTAAAGTATAGGAGTTACGATCATCTTAGCGCTAAGACGATTGTAAGCCTATGTTTATGTATGGGAGCTACGATCATCTTAGCGCTAAGACGATTGTAAGCCTATGTTAAAGTATAGGTGTTACGATCATCTTAGCGCTAAGACGATTGTAAGCCTATGTTAAAGTATAGGAGTTACGATTACTTCAGCACTAAGATCGCTTTGTGCATGTGGGTCCAGGACATGTAGGTGTTCTGGCAGTACGTGTGTGGACGTCTGACTGGGTAAGGATGTACAGTAGGTATTATACTGTCCAGTCCAGATTTGTTTTTACAACTGCCAAGAACCCCAAGAATATTTCAACAATCAGATCGGATACTCTACACAATGTAGTTCTGTAGATTATTCCCTTTTTGAATAGCCTGGAACAGTCAGGCAATCAGTTTATTCATATATAACTGTAAGGTCACAGGCCCATAGTACAGAATACATGACAATGTGGAAGCGGTTAGAAATGTTACAAGGATTCATTTCTTAATAACATGGCATGATATATAAAGAGAGAGAGATTTTGTATAGCCGTTTTGCTCACATGTGATATTAAAGAGATAAACTTAAATTTATTTGGATGTACATAGTATTTCTGTTCAATATATTTTTTCCTTAAATTATCATATCTACAACATACAAGTAGAAAATGAAATTCATCTTCGACAACATTTAAAGAACATTGTTTACATAATCTTAAACATTTGGGTATTTTGTTGTGCCTGCCAACTTCAACCATTAACCTGTGTGAGCTGCATCTAAATTGTGTTAATGATATTCTGCATTTTCTTATATTTACATCAGTTACATATTTTTCTGCGCATATTTGCATTTTAAAATATCTATAATATTCGCATTTGCTAGAAACATTTACAGTAGATCTCCATGTTTGAAAGTACATGTCAAGAAGCGTCTGCCTTATTTTCGATATGAACATTGCATGATTCTCTGAGAAACATTGGTTTTCCCAGATGTAACTTACCCACATTTATATAGTAGACATTTAACATTGTATGCCCACTTTTGATCTCCATTCTTTTCATACAATAGCATCATATTATAACATTTTTATCGTGTGTAATATACGTGAAAATGTATATATTTTTACCAACGTCATATAGTCTCTCATAGCTCCGTAGGGAGTAGCTCATTAGTTTATATGTTTTTTACTAAGATATTTTTAAAGAGTTTATTTCCAATGTATTATAAATGTAACGAGGTGAGACTTAAATAAATTATCTGTCTGTCTGTCTGTACAAATGTAATCTCAAGCACGTACAGTGGAGCCCTCGAAGTACTTTCACAAAAAGGCAGCACTTTCTACACATTTGTAGTGAGTTGTAACGACTGCTGGATATTCGACCAGAATTAAGTGGGTAATGTTATATATATTATACACAGATATACTGCAAATCATATATATACTGAATACAATGTATACTGAACTGATATAAGGGAGATGTTGGACTTACGTGGACTTTATAATTTTATTATATGACATGTACACCGAGTGAACATTCGTTTGCCTCGTTTTTGGGTATATATACATAATATATGTTTATCATAATTTGTTTACACGACACCGGGTGGGAAGAATGTACAAAGATAACAACATAATGAAAACGCCTATAAGACAGGTTTAATGAACAAAGATAACAATATCTTGACGAGGACTTAACTATGTACACTGGAGATGTAGGGATGACAAGGATCTGGCTATCGTGACACAAGCAACAAGACAATCAAGATGTTCGTTGTGGTTGATGATGTGAGTATACACCAGGTAGGTAGATACCTTGGTCACTGTCCATGGCTCACGTCTTCCCGTAGCCACAGTTTATCACAGAGAAACAAAATACAATACATTTCGCACAATGGCTGGTAACCGCTAGCAACAGCAGACCTGTATCTAAATTGTTTAAGACACAATATTTAACATTTTATTATTTATATATAATCATATCTCCGGCTTGTTTTCAATTCATTAAAGCAAATATATTTCTTGTCAAGTAAGAACGTTCTTTAAATGCACACAGTATTGTCTCCCGGGTCCACACACGTTTAGGAAGACAGCATTGGGGTCATACACGTCGCAGCTCAAATCCCAACATTTTTCAGGCACTTTAGTACTTCTAAATAACAAACCTTCAAAAATCCTCCTTCAAGTCACCGTAAATCATCACCGTTTAATCACTTATCGTATCTTATTGTATCTTATACTATAATCCTATTTATTTATTTCGGTGTTCAATCCATCAATTTCCACTTTCATACTGATGCTGGAGCTCTTAGATTTATCTAAGCGCGGTTTGTGCCTTGGGTTCTTCTATTCATCAGTCAAACGTATACCGATTCCTCTCAAGTTCCTGCAGAAACTCCCGATGTGAAACATGCACTATATCCCAGAATTCCACTTGCTTGACACGTGACAACCACGTGTCCACTTTTGGCCAGATCCGGAACTGGAAGTTCGGCCATTGCAGCTGAAGCAGTACTGTGGCGACGAAGACGTCAGCAACGGTGTGCCTGTCGCCGGTGAGGTACTTGTGTTTGGCGAGGTACCTGTTCTCCAGGACCTCCAAGTGACGGGTAATGTAGTGGAGGCCCTTCTCAACTAGGACCTCATTGGCCTCCTCGCCTGACAGGGCGTACTTCTCCAGGAACTGAGGATACACGTAGCCATACCCAACAACTCTGAAACCAAATTACATTAGCTATATAACAGCAGTATTTGATATGTGGAATGCAACCTCCATTATCTATTGTATTACATCGCCAATGTATGATGTTATATATATGTACTGGGCCCATTCGCTGCGATTCGAATGGCATGATTTGTTTTGTTGTTTGTTGTTTAACGCCGCACTTAGCAATATTCCAGATATATGACGGCGGTCTGTAAATAATCGAGTCTGGACCGACAATCCATTGATTGACATCATGAGCATCGATCCCAGCAATTGGAATACAGTGACATGCATCGACCAAGTCAGCGAGCCTTACCACCCGATCCCGTTAGTCGCCTCTTAATAATAATAATAATAATCATCATCATCATAAGTCCATTTATACTGCGCCAGATTCAATTCACCAAGTTAATGCTAATGGCGCTACATAGTTTTAGCAAATAATACTAATGAAAGGGTAGTAGAGTTGATAGTGTTGTCTGAAAAGGTGTGTTTTCAGATGAGCTTTAAAGGATGAAAGCAATGGCGACAGCTTAAGATCGGATGGTAGTTTGTTCCCTAGCGAGGAAGCGCAGAACTGGAAAGATCTCTGACCAAAGGTTTTGAGACGGGTTTCCGGGATTTGTAACAGGTGGTTATTCTGAGATCGGAGAGATCTGGAAGGCTTGTATTTAGGCAGTAGTTCGGTGAGATATAATGGGGCTGTTTCCATGTAGCATTTATAGGCCAGGGTTAGAATACTGAATTCAATACTGGCTTTAAGTGGTAACCAGTGCAGCGACATCAGAGCAGGTGTTACTGGAGTCCATTTTGATGTCTTCGTGACGATACATGCTGCAGTATTTTGTACACGTTAGAGCCTGTGGAGTTGATGTTACTCATGAGACTGTTGCAATAGTCAAGACGTGATATAACTAAAGATCTAGCCAAAGTGTGTGCAGCTTCTTTTGTGAGTAGATGTCGAACACTTCCGATGTTGCGGAGATGAAAGAAGCAGGACTTTGAGACATGGCTTACATGTTGTTCCATAGTTAGTCCACTGTCCAGATAAAAGCCAAGATTTTTCACTGGTTTTAAGAATTCGCTATTGGAATCACTATCTAGAATCTTGTTACCTCTCATTTTCTCAAGATTTGTTCGGGTACCAATCAATAAACCTACTGTCTTGTTGTCGTTTAATTTTAGTTTGTTCTCAGTCATCCACGACTGGATGGCTCTGGTGCAATCTTCGACTTTTTGAAGCTCTGTTTCAGTTTCAGATGGCATGAAAGTTTTCATCAGTTGCGTATCATCGTCGTAGATATGATAGCTCAGTAGTCGCTTAGAGATGGTATGACCCAAACTTTTAGTGTACAGTGTGAAAAGAATGGGGCCCAGAACTGACCTTTGGGAAACCCCACAAGAGAGAACAAAACTATCTGATGTTGCCTCATTGACACGGACTGACTGACACCGTCCATCTAAGTATGATGTAAACCATTTGAGAGCATTTCCTTCTGGTCCTATCTGATGGTGTAAACAGTCCAAAAATTTGATGTGGTCTATGGTATCAAATGCTGCAGACAGATCAAGTAGAACAAGCAGGCTTACGTTACCTCTGTCTGCAGATGTAAGGAGTTCATTTAAGACTCTAAGTAATGCAGTCTCTGTGCTGTTATTAGCTCTATATGCGGGTTGGAATTTGTCCACTAGGCTATGGGCATCGAGGTGTTCGGAAAGTCGAATTTTTACCGCCTTCTTAAACACTTTCGAGATGAAAGGTAGGTTTGATACCGGACGGTAGTTTTCCAGACCAGGCTTTTTGAGGAGAGGTTTAACTATAGCTTCCATGAAACTCTGAGGAACTCCACCTGATTAAAGACTAAGGTTGATAATCTTCGTTATGGCAGGAAGTAGAGTGTCAAGGTGATCAATGACGATCTTTGTTGGAATTGGTCCTAGTTGACAGAACGTGGGTTTTGAATCAATGATCATTTTCCGGATTTCTAGTTCTGAGAACGGTTTCAAATCCTTCAGAGGTTCACCATTAACACTGTTTTGCATGTCATGTAGTAGCAGGGGACTGTCACGTAAACAATCTGGAATGACGTTTGTGTGACTGTCATGGATGGACTTCTCATCTAGGCTTTGTCGAATCTTTTGTATCTTGATGACAAAGTAGTTGCTAAAATTACTGGCTAATTGTTTGCTGCTTCAGTCTTTTCCGTCTTCTTGTCCATCAAAGTGAAAGTAAACTTAATGAGATCGCCTGGACGACCCGCACTGTCCTTGATTTTCTGTAGGCAGTAGGCTGTTTTAGAGGTTCTTACCTGCTGAGTAACGACATTTCGTCTATGAACTCTCCAATTTTGATTTACGCCACTGACGTTCAGCAATGCGTCTATGTGCCTTTGCAGGTGAAACAATATCACAATACCAAGGAGCTGCAGGCCTACTCGGAATTGGCTTGTCTACACCTGGTGCATGTAGATCGAGGAGATTGGAGAGTGTGGAGTGGTAAGACTGACAAATCTCGTCTAGATCATTGGGTGGATCTATCAGTAGACTAGATTCTTTCATGTCACATGAAAATGCTGATGCATCCATATTCTTGGTGTTGCGACACCGAACGCTGACTTTGATTCGTGAAGGAGCTTTAAGGGACAGCTCAATGAATAACATGTAGAGATCAGATATTTGTATACCCCCTACTGACACAGTGGATATGATGTTACTCTCCTCTCTGGTCACCACCCAGTCAATAATGTGACCAGACTTGTGAGTTGGGCTGTCCACATGTTGTTGTAGTCCGTGAGTTGGGCTGTCCACATGTTGCTGTAGTCTGTGTGAATTCAATAGCCTGGCTTATTTCTTAACTTCCGCTTTTTCAGTTTGTTCATAATGAACATTAAAGTCTCCAAGAAGAAGTATTTTTTCCTGTTTGTAATTTTCGAGCAGAACTGAAAAATCCGCATACAACTGAAATAGGGGAATTTCATTTCGTTTTGATGGAAAATGGTCTGTATATGAATCAAAATCGAATTCTGACACTTGCAATTGAGATAGTCAACTCCATCAGTTCGAATGACTGACAGTTGTGTCCAGTTGATTCAATCACAGATAAATCAATGTGTGATTTATGGATAACTGCAATGCCGACACCACGTCCGGATTTACGTGGAAAATGATTAAATGAATATCCGACAGATGTCATCTCGGCCACTTTGGATTCGACTCCATGTTCTCTGAGCCATGTTTCGGTGAGAACTAGCAAGTCGAGTTGATAATCCGTCACAGCATCAGCAATATCGATAGCTTTGTTCCTAGTTGACTGGGCATTTCATAATGCGACAGTTAAATTTGGATATTTTCGTATGGGATACACTCTTATCATATTTGAGAAGTTAATGTCCTTCCTGGTATTTCCAGATTGACATGGTCGGTTAAATTGTCCATGTACAACTTTGATTAGTCTTTCTTTCTTCCTCCAACTTGTGTCTCCGTGTTCGCTTACTAACACATATGTTTAATTCTCTAAGGCACTATATTATTGAGGGTGGTATCCACTGCTTTACTCCTGGATTGGGAGACAGAAGGTTTTCTCTAGTGTAGTGTTCAATGCTTGGGGTTTCTTTGTCCTCATTGACTGTTGGCCAAGGCTGGTTGATTGTCCCCATTTTTCTACACCGGCCCCAAGCTGAGGTGTGGCTGCATGTACCAGTCAAATTTGTAAACAACGTAAAAGGCGATTATGCTTGTCGTAAAAGGTGACTAACGGGATCGGGTGGTCAGGCTCGCTGACTTGGTTGATGCATGTCATCGTATCCCAATTGAGTGGATCGGTGCTCATGATGTCAATCACTGGATTGTCTGGTCCAGGCTCGATTATTTACTGACCGCCGTCATATAGCTTTGAATATTGTCAAATGACAAACAAACAAACAAACAAACAGAGTATCATTAAACTTCGAGCTTCCAAAGGCATATATTATTTTACTGCCGCTTCATTCATCCTAGAATCTTTCTGAGCTGCGTGAGCGAGTGAGTTTTAAGGTCGCTATCAAGTTATTCTGCTCGCACGTTGAGTCAGACATTGTATTACCACGGAGAGAGTCCGAGGTGGAGATGTAACAGTAGTACATGACACTTGCACCTGTATACACTACCAGAAGGCGACTATTCTTGTCGTAAGAGGCGACTAATGGGATGATGTATGTGGTATCCCAATTGCGTTTATCGATGTACGGTGATTGCTGTCGTCGGGATCTTTAGCAAGATGAAGACTTCGGTAGAGCAGGACAACAAAGCTGAAGCATCGCTGGACCAACTGTTGGTTTATTTGTTTGTTGTTTAACGCCGCACTCAGCAATATTCCAGCTATATGACGGCGGTTTGTAAATAATCGAGTCTTACCAGACAATCCAGCGATTAATATCATGTGCGTTGATCCACGCAATTTTGATCGATAACATGTATCAACCAAGTCAGCGAGCCTGACCACCCGATCCCGTCTGTGACATGGTATTGCCTAATGATAATCGGACCTCACTGCAGATGATCGATCAAGATTACCCCTTACTGTCTCAGAAAGCCGAAGCCACCCCCGCTTGTTCTTTGGCAGGGGATGACGTAAATGTGTCCACTATTTGCGCTTATGGGCTCAAAGGGATGGTCAAGGTTTCATGCCAGGGTAAAAACTTCCTGAGGTCGAAACCTCACAGTACACCAACCAATATCTATGCTGACACGAACCTTTCGATGTACCCCCGTAGGCTCCGTTCAAAAGTGACCTAAGAGTTGCGACGACAGCAAGTCGACATGGAGTATACGCACGTAGCCGTCATCGCACAACGCTGTTGTAGCCGTGATATCGACCCCAAACGGCGACATTGCTCATGCTATCAACCACTAGGTTGTGTGTCAACATCATGGACGTCTCTGAGTCGTAATGCTAAAGCTGCTTTAGCGAATGTGACCAAGAGCGATTCATTAGTGGAACCATCTGGACACGCCCTATATGGTAAACCCGTGACAACTCACCGGTGCAGCTCACTGTTAGCCCAGCTGATCAGGGACTCGCTCATCATCCGGGTACTGAGGGAGATCCCAAAACCTGCATGGTCGGCAAACTGGGCGGCGAGGTAGTGCAGAATGGCGGGACTGAAAACAGGAACATAATAAACAAAATAAGATTTTTTTGTAAATAGTAAACCAAGTCGTGTGTACTCCGTTTGTGATGAAGTAGTATTACAATGAAAACAGATTAACTAAAAAAAAATTAATCTCAACACAACTATGTTAAGCTAGTTTGGTCGGTTCAAAAATGTTAACGTTTTCGTCTTAACATTATGATTCCTATGCAGAAATGATTTGTTGTGAGGTCAACTGTCTTATTCAATATTACCCATCAAACACAACGACGTCGCCATCTAGTAGAATAGGCACTTCCTGGTGGGGTTGCTTCCGGACAACATCAGGCAGATTTGTCTCCCCTTGGGTGAAGTCCACATCGATGAGAACGTGAGGTATCTCGTACTGTAAAATGCAGCGTTATATTATTGGGCTACGATGACATGCATAAACCAAGTCAGCGAGCCTCACAACCCGATCCCGTGAGTCGCCTCTTACGACAAGCATCGTCGCCATTTACGGCAAACAAGGGTTGCTGAAGACCTATTCTACCCCGGATCTTCACGGGTCTACTGAATTTGTAAACATCGGAGACAGAAAGTCGCGATATTAGGGGATTATGCTGGGGAAGTGATGATGATGACACCAGTCACTGGTCGGTCATGATTCTACCGATCACGACGAGAACAACATGTGATCAAGGTCTGGTATGTTTTTAAAAAATAAAAACGGTATTGCAGAGAACGGGATAGGCAGGCCAGGCTCGAACACCTTAAAAATATTAGAGGCTTTGCGGTCTTGAGATCGAGTCGAAGGTCAGTCGCCTCCAGTTGCCCATTCCGTGACGAACCTGGCCTGTCTAGTTAGTTGTGTATTCAGGGATGGACTGTAGTGCAGGAAAGTTTAGGTGAGCATAAAAAATCCTGTGTTGTGTTAATGACTGTATGGGTGTGCGACTGTACACGAACATCTGTGGAGGTAACTAGAAGCTTCGGCCTCAGACACATCGCTTCCGGAGATGAGAACCTCCCATAACTGTACGAGTTGCAGAGAACGTCTCAGACTCCCAAATGGTCATACGGGACGGCAGCAAGCAGGTCGCTGCTGAATGTTCTCTGAGGAACCTAAAGCCAGTTACAACTAGCAGAGATGCAGGTACAACATACAGTCGATCATTGTCCAACATACCATGTCTACCCATACAACCGACACATCTGTCCAACTTGGAAACAAATGTTCTATCAGATAACAAAGGAGACCCCCGCTCACCCCACGAAAGCCGGTGTGGCATTATGTAGGGGAAAACAAACTGTACTCGAGTGACACATCGATCAATGTCTAGCTACTTGCTGATCAACATTGATGTTTGTTCTTCCAAGGTGAGCTAACAAAGGCGCTACCCAGTTTCAAAAATCGACATGAGGTCATTCTATATTACGACAAACTTCGTTAGAAAAGACATTATCCAATGAAACAAATTGTCTGATCTTGCAAGTAGGCACTCGCTATATGTGATTATTATTATATTTTCTTGGATGGTTTATCTTTATTAAGTTTTATGTAGACATGTGGAAGACATTTCGAAATTTGACGCATCTGTGACAAACATGAGATAGGGGAATTTTGACTCGTGTGTTTTTAGGTGAACACTTGCCTTGCCTTTGCATGTGTTTCGCGAACACCTGGTATCATCAGTATTTGATAGTGATTCATAAACACATGTTCATGTTATAGTCGAAATCGTACAATCGGCTCTGCTTTATGCAGAGATTTCTATTTGATATTGAAAGGGTTTTGTCGCTTTATTTGCATGTACGATTACTCATTGTGTTCTTGGACGAGGACTATGTACGGAGGACGTGAACATGACACTATGCTCATGTCTCTGTGTCCTTGGTTCCTGTATTGACGTGTGTAGGTATCGTGCGATCAAGTCGCTGATCCCTGTTCTTTGGTATGTAATACCGTTATAAAGGTAGGATAGCATCAGCTACAGCATTATAACAATCTTAAATGTCCACATATCGTGATCTAACGGTATATGAAATGGCTGTAAAGGATGACATGAAAGAAAGTATATCAATACGTCCATGTTCAAACAGACAGGTGAAGAGAAGGGCGTGGCAATATTACAGATTACACGCGGACATCAGCTGTGATGTCGCAACAACATGACAACAACTGAACAACAATCGTGAAGGTTGTTCATAATGGGATCGAACATACAAATGTTTCCAGTACCCGAATATATATTATGGATAAATTGGATTGTATTGTTATAAGGGGCCTACATTCATTGCAGGATTAAAATTGTCATGTCACACATATTCAACCAATACCGTCGGGGAAATCAATAGCTTTACACATTGTACCGCTAGGCCATAATACAGCCCTCATCATAAGGGGAGATTTACACATTGTACCGCTAGGTCATCCCGTAGTCCTCATCATAAGGAGAGCTTTATACACTTGGCCATCCCGAATCGTAAGTAAATATTTGACCAAGCGTTGGGGCATGACCCATTACTGACCCAATCTAAGGTACCACCCATTCGTGACCAAAACGTGTTATTCCGGGACAAACCGAATAGCGACTCGTGCCCCTCTCGTGGCCATTTTTGCGACTGGGTTCCGTCTAAGCGCAAACGGGCACAGCTAAAGTAATTATCGTTGCGTAATGATTCACGTATATTTTCCCCCCATACATCATATATATTCCAGATGCTATTGAAAACACATCGGCTCTATCAGTATTATACGGTATGATTGAACACATTTAACTGTATCTTGGGTATTTTCTTACATGCAAAACATATGTAAAATCAAAAAGTATTCCTCAGATATTCCTTGACGGAAGTACTTGAAGTCATACGCGCATTCTGATTGGTTTGTCGTATTTTCGGGGGAAAAGTCTTCTAGCGAGTGGTGAAGGAGGTACCACCGATACCTGGAGAAACGGTGGTACCTTTTGCACGTGTTTTTGACGGGTGCCACAGGTGAGGCAGGACACGCCCACCTTCGCGAACACCTGGTATCATCACTATTTGATAGTGATTCATAAACACGTGTTTATGATATAGTCGGAATCAACACCGCTTCTAGCAGGGATTTCTTGTCCTGTGGAAAGGGTTTTGTCGCTTTTATTTACATGATCCCAGCATGTTTCCTGGCAGGGTCGCAAGACTGCATTACAATAAACTACGTTTATAACAAACAAGTTTATAACGAACTGGCGGAAAAACGAACTGTTATTTTGTCCCAACCATTTCCTGTATATTTTCATTACATATGCTATCACGAACAACGGCTAAAACGAACTAAAATTAGTGGTCCCTTTGCGTTCGTTATAACCGTAGATTAGTGTATCTTTATGAAGCAATGAAGCAGAGAAAGCAGTAGAAAAATAACTATTGCCTGGTAACATTTATATCATCGATGTCGGTCTCTGTATTTAATCATCAGTGTGCCACAGGCGAAACTAATACATATACAGGAAATGCTTTTACAAATGTTTATTCTGCTTGTAAATATCCAGTAACTGGTGATGAATTGTTTCCGAGGTGTATCACAGTCACAGTACCTTAAAGTTAAATCTCCCGAGTGGGCCGCGATATATGTATTCAGAGGAGGTGGTGTTTTGATTTGTTGTTTTCGAGCGCGTGCGAAATGTTGTGTTTAGTTATTGATGGAGATGGTGACGTCACGAAACAACCTATATATGGTGGCGAACGAGTCCATGTTATGAATAAGAATAGAATGGAGGCACGTGGCCCTGTGCACAAGGCATGTACAGGTCACAAATCAGGTGAATTTATGCAACGTCGGTCGCGACGAGTCCTTGGATGGGTGACCGCGTTTCGGCAGTTTGGCTCCTGAGAGTTTCTAGGGCGTCGGTCCTGCCCCACACTGAAGCACATGTAACACATGTGGTGTCTCCTTAGGCAAGTGACTTTGTTCGAAATGTGACTTTGTTCACCCAGAAGTGATTGGGTACCAGGTAGGATGAGATGGCAACGTGGTTGTTAACCTTCTAGTGCCTAACAGGCTGCATGGATTGCATACTCCCCAGGGAGTAGAGAATGATTCTTGAGTGCACACTGATCCAGTGACTGGGGTAATAATAGCGCTTGGAGCATGTCCCTGAGAGGTGTGGAAATATGCGCAATATAAAAGGCCTATTTTTATATCACCGTGGGTAATCGAGACTCAGGGCAGGGTCAATTTTGATTTTAAAGATTGTGCCTCCGTGCGATGTCGGGAGTCCACGCGGGTGTGAGCATCTGGACGTCACACATCGTGGGGTCTCATGATTCACCAGGCAACAGAGGCTGTATGTAGACAGAGAACACACAGTGATGTGTCATATCTCCAGATTTATACATACTTAAATGGTTTAGGGTTTTAATACTATGTACTTTTTCGTTTCGGTTACACAAGCGACCGTCCATAGTATTTGTTGATTGATGCTTAAACAACTCAAATACACTAAAAACAACACACACTGAAAAGTTCATAAATATCAAAATGAAATGGATAATCGCATTACAAAATTATGTCTCGTTTGTATAGAGCCTTTGTTTAAAAACCTACAAGTACGGGTCTAGCCTGGAAGCAGATACAAATACAATCTAACCTGTAGCATGTACCACCACATAACCCAACAAGGAGGGGATCTCACCTGTAGCATGTACCACCACATAACCCAACAAGGAGGGGATCTCACCTGTAGTATGTACCATCAAACAACAAGGAGGGGATCTCACCTGTAGTACGTACCACCACATAACCCAACAAGGAGGGGATCTCACCTGTAGTATGTACCATCAAACAACAAGGAGGGGATCTCACCTGTAGTATGTACCACCACACAACAAGGAGGGGATCTCACCTGTAGTATGTACCACCACATAACAAGGAGGGTATCTCACCTGTAGTATGTACCATCACACAACAAGGTGGGGATCTCACCTGTAGTATGTACCACCACACAACAATGTGGGGATCTCACCTGTAGCATGTACCACCACACAACCCGACAAGGAGGGGATCTCACCAGTACTGTGTACCACCACATAACAAGGAGGGGATCTCACCTGTAGTATGTACCATCACACAAGGAGGGGATCTCACCTGTAGTATGTACCACCACACAACAAGGAGGGGATCTCACCTGTAGTATATACCACCACACAACAAGGAGGGGATCTAACCTGTAGTATGTACCATCACACACGGAGGGGATCCCACCTGTAGTATGTACCACCACAGAACAAGGAGGGGTCTCACCTGTAGAATGTACCACCACACAACCCGACAAGGAGGGGATCTCACCTGTACTATGTACCACCACACAACAAGGAGGGGATCTCACCTGTAGTATGTACCACCACATAACCCGACAAAGAGGGGATCTCACCTGTAGTATGTACCACCACACAACCCGACAAGGAGGGGATCTCACCTGTAGCATGTACCGACACACAACAAGGAGGGGATCTCACCTGTAGCATGTACCACCACACAACAAGGAGGGGATCTCACCTGTAGCATGTACCACCACACAACAAGGAGGGGATCTCACCTGTAGCATGTACCATCACACAACAAGGAGGGGATCTTACCTGTAGCATGTACCACCACACAACAAGGAAGGGATCTCACCTGTAGCATGTGCCACCACATAACCCGACAAGGAGGGGATCTCACGTGTAGCATGTACCACCACATAACAAGGAAGGGATCTCACCTGTAGCATGTACCACCACATAACCCGACAAGGAGGGGATCTCACCTGTAGCATGTACCACCACATAACCCAACAAGGAGGGGATCTCACATGTAGCATGTACCATCACACAACAAGGAAGGGATCTCACCTGTAGCATGTACCATCACATAACAAGGAGGGGATCTCACATGTAGCATGTACCACCACACAACAAGGAGGGGATCTTACCTGTAGCATCTACCACCACATGACACGGAGGGGATCTCACCTGTAGCATGTACCACCACACAACAAGGAGGGGATCTCACCTGTAGCATGTACCACCACACAACAAGGAGGGGATCTCACCTGTATTATGTACCACCACACAACAAGGAGGGGATCTCACGTGTAGCATGTACCACCACACAAGGAGGGGATCTCACCTGTAGCATGTACCATCACACAACAAGGAGGGGATCTCACCTGTAGCATGTACCATCACACAACACGGAGGGGATCTCACCTGTAGCATGTACCACCACACAACAAGGAGGGGATCTCACCTGTAGCATGTACCACCACATAACAAGGAGGGGATCTCACCTGTAGCATGTACCATCACACAACACGGAGGGGATCTCACCTGTAGCATGTACCACCACACAACAAGGAGGGGATCTCACCTGTAGCATGTACCACCACACAACACGGAGGGGATCTCACCTGTAGCATGTACCACCACACAACACGGAGGGGATCTCACCTGTAGCATGTACCACCACACAACAAGGAGGGGATCTCACCTGTAGCATGTACCACCACATAACAAGGAGGGGATCTCACCTGTAGCATGTACCATCACACAACAAGGATGGGCTCTCACCTGTAGCATGTACCACCACACAACACGGAGGGGATCTCACCTGTAGCATGTACCACCACACAACATGGAGGGGATCTCACCTGTAGCATGTACCACCACACAACACGGAGGGGATCTCACCTGTAGCATGTACCACCACACAAGCCGACAAGGAGGTGATATCCTCACGATGTACAGCTCGACAGGTGGGCGGCTGTTCTTCTCCCTGTGTGCGTCTCCGTTCATGGTTGCTGTTTGACCTGGCATCTTGGCTTGGGACATTATTTACTTATAAACAGAAGGAATCCCACAATACCGTGTGTAGAAGTCGTGTGGTCATGGTGTGCGTCAAGTCAATCACGATAGCCTCTTACAAAGGCAGTGGAGAGTGAACACACAGACGACACCAACCACGATCGGCACTGACCGTCACCCGTGTCCCTCAAATGTTTCCAGTAATTATGTCCTAGTACTTAGCCCTGGACACCCGGTGGTTGTAGATTCCTAGTACTTAGCCCTGGACACCCGGTGGTTGTAGACTCCTAGTACTTGGCCCTGGACATCCCGTGGCAGTACACTACTTGTGGACCAGTATGGAACATACAGATAAGAAACAGTAGCCAAATGTTCCCCTCTTCTACAATTCTTCAATAAACACAATTGCAGGAACCCTCAACTTCTATATAATTGTATTCCCTTTCACGAAACCTGAGAAACCACTGGCTTGATCCTGGACCTTCTGTGTTGATACTCTTGTAGACAATTATCCCCCGACGGTTGGCCTCGTGGAAACACGGATAGAGATATTACTTTTCTGGCACAAGTTCGACTTTCCCTGGCACACGGCTGTCCTGGAATTTGATCTAAGATAACTGATTTCGAAAACAATCACCCAATATTTGCCTGTCACCGTAACGACACGTTTCAATTTCATACCGCAGCACGCAAGGTGGACTTGAGAACAGCTACCGCATGAGTTAGCAATGGGGCCATCAACAGGTGGTCCCGACAAGCACTGATTTGTATTGCAAGTCCGTCCATCAAGAAACTTGAAACCTATTGTCAATAGATGTGCGAATGTTTAACAAGTCGATACCCATGCTGCAGTTTGTGAAACATGTCAGAGGTCACAATGGTTAACTTTAGCTTAAATATCTCCGGCACGACAAAGCCTGACGTTTTATTCTAGGTGCGGCACAGCAGGGGGTGGACACTCTATTGTTTGAGGGCTAAATACAATGTACTCCGGTTTACAAAACCCGGTATTTAGCTCATTGTTGTGCTTACACATGTTTTAAACAGGCAGTGATGCAAATCATGCTGTCGTATTTATAGTTGGCCATAACGTTTTGAATGTTACCTTTATCTATAAACGTTCTACCTTGGTTGTCTTTTCAGGATTTTGATTCTTCGTATACTTACTCACATAGCCATAGATCATCGGTTTACATCAACCTGTTGTTGATGGAATACATATACATATTCTCATTAAAATTAATGTGTGTATCGGTATGTGTATTTTGGGGTTGTTGTTTTGTTTGTTTTGTTTTTGTTTTTGTTTTTTTTGGTGTTTTTTTTGTTTTTGTTTTTTGGGGGGGGTGTTTATTCAACATTCTGCCAACTATATGACGACAGCCTGCAAATAAAAGTCTGTACCAGACAATCCAGTGATTGATATTGTGAACGATCCTCGCTGTATACGTATAAACCACGTCACAGAGCAAAACACTCATACACACTGACAAAAGAAACGCGAATACCATACATGTTGGTTAATATATGAAGAATTACTTATATTCAAGAGATATTAGATTGGTTCGATGCACAAACGAACACACTTGTATGTTGCGAGAACCAACGCTCATAGATCCATGACTCGAGATGTACCATTTGTCTCGTGCAGGATTTGTGTGTAAAGTTTGGAAATGACGTGCAGCATATCGTGTTAAGACTAAAGACACGCTGTGGTAACACTCTTCTCTTCGTAATGTACATACTTCTCTACACGTGTCTATGGTTCGTGTTTCAATCAATCTTTATTTCAGGTACTGAAAATGCCATAGGCCTATAGTACATATATACATACAGTAGCAGTGGGTGCAATAGGAATTACATGTATCGTAACAAAATATCACATCTATAATGCAGAGGATCTGATGTTCATTGCATGATATATATACATTGAAAGATATTTTGTTACTGTTTCATTTTGAGATGACATGAGGATATAAAATTTGTCTATTCTAGGATTCAGATAAAAATATTTTTGTATGTATTCTTTTCTGATATTTGCATACAATGGACAGACTAGCAAAAAATGGTATTCATCTTCTATCTCTTGGCAAGTACAATATTTACACAATCTGTTTTCCATTGGTATCGCTAAATGTCTACCTTTTTCTATTAGAAGGTCATGAGAACTACACCTGAAACGGGATAGTGCGGAATTTCTTAACATTTATATCCAAAAGATATTTTTCGGTCAGAATGAATGATTTAAAACAGGTGTAATGCTTTAACTTATTGTGTAAACCTAGTGAAGAGTACCACTTTTGAAAATACATATCTTTTAGCCTTTGTCTTAAATTATATATAAAACGATCTGGTACTGTTACATGTTGCTCTCTCCAAATGTACTCATACCCGCAAGATTGAAGTATCTTTTTGACACCCGAGTTATTTTTACCTCTGCTATCGTAAAGTACATCATGTTATAGCATTTCTTTGGGAATCTGATATTTGGCATTTAAAGCAATTTTATCCAATATTTTATTACTTTTATGTAACTAAATATATACATTGGTTCGTGTTTCTTGTGGTAGTGGTGAGTACATATGCGATGGCACAGGAAGCCATGCTCTGCCGTTCCTCACCGGTGTCGTGCCCTGGAGGTGAGCAATGCAGCTTCTTGTACATACATTCAGCATCTTGTTAGATTGATCTTAAACTGCTTTCTTCACATCGGCAACATGGACTTCTTCTATCTATCTATCTATCTATCTATCTATCTATCTATCTATCTATCTATCTATCCATCCATCCATCCAACCATCCATCCATCCATCAATCCATCCATCCATCCATCTATCCATCCATCTATCTATCTATCTATTTTCCAGTAAACCTGTATCTTATTTCACTGCAATACACCCTCCACCCTCTCAACCCGAGCCACATAATACGTGGAGTTGATCAACAGTGAGCCTATAGACACGCTGCACTGACGCACTGTCACCATCCAGCTACACTACAAGACCTCGCCCCGATAACATCACCGCCCTATGAAAAGCACAAGTAAAGTCGCCTTCGCGTGGAGTGTTGGACGCCTCATACAAACACTGGTGTATTCACCGGTTGCATGCAGCTCTCGTCTCCGTGTTAATTCCACGCTATTCACCATGTCTATATTTATACAAGTGACCAATGACTCTCTTGTAGTCAGGTACACACTTAGACTGTTGTAAGATATTGGATTCGTTTCACAGTATTTGATTACATGAAATTAAAGTAATTTCGATCACAATGAGGGGAACGGTAGAAACTCGTAGTGTGCGGTGAGCCACGACATTTACTTTGTATGAGATCCGCTACTGCCTGCCTACACAGGGAAAGAAAATTAGCTATCGTCAAGTGTGGATTATTTCCATACACATCTATATGCTATGTCCAATAAATGAAACCTACAATTGTCCTATGATTTAAAGCTCAGCCATGAATGTGTTTTCGGAATTTTTTTTGAGCTACGAAATAACAAATCTTTTATTTGAAATCTGTATATGTACGTGAAATACCAATTGGCGTTGCTACCACGTAGCACAAAAGCAAGTGTTTACACTTTGAAATCGATACAACAAAAAAATACAATAAACTAAATTTAAAAAGTGCTTTATTGGTTATTCTTTCAGTCGCTTGTTATTGTAACATGATCTTTTGTTATTTTACAGGTTGACCCGCCTACAAGTGTCAACATTGTCGTTGATGAGTTGGTTCGATGTTGTTGTTTGGTTGATGCATTTCCTTTCCCCTTATCGCGAACACCTGGTATCATAACTGATTTTCAGTGGTCCACTCATATAATGTTCACATCTATTTTGCCCTTTACGCCAAATGGAATCTATTTCGGTGGACAATCTAGAGTGGTTATTCTCTTGTATTGACAATTTATATTTGATCACAATAATCAAACTGTTGTATACTTGAAATGTGTTATGTACAGAGCGTGGTAAGGGTATTTCGTGATATCTCTGTTCTAGATTTTTTTAACTGGCCTGCCTGTGTTTGTGTTTGATAAGTGTTGTAAGTGATACGAAAAATATGTACTGCAATATGACTACTTACATTTTATTTCCCCTAGCTACGCCCCTGATACCTGTCACATAAAACAGCTACTATGTTGTAAGCAAAGGCATATTCAAAATTTGTTTTGAGCGGACGTAGCCCGCAAACGATAAAATATATCATAAATGTAGTTTCCACCTAGTGATTTAATACTAATAAATTCATCAGTGTTTCTTTGGGGATTGAAGTTTAATTATTTTTTTAAACCGTCTTTCTTATTTTTGTTCGACGTACAGGCAAAGTGTATTCCGGGTAGCTTTTGCACCTTCATATACAGGTGAGGTGTTTGTAGCTTGTGAAGGTAACAGTTGGTCAAGAAAACATTCCTACCCCGTCTGAGTTGAGGAATATGTTACACGTGTGTGGGAGGCGCATGTCACTTGTTCCTGGGTAGGACATCATCGTAAGCGCGGACGTCTGGTAACGAACTGGGAGAAGGTCCGGACATCTGATAACCCAGGTATTCCTACCACTCGCCTTGTTTCAATGTCTGCATTCATGCATGTGTTCACAACAGCGCTCATCAGTCCTTATCTGTCTGCAATGGATGAAGTCTCCACACTGGATATGGGTAAATGATATACACTGTACACAAATTAGACACAATACCAAGTGTACTTAAGGTTGTTCGGAAGGTGAGGTAGCTCAGTTGTTCATGCGTGTGCTCCTCGCCTCAAAGACTGGGTTCGTATCCGCACACGATTTGTGAATCCCATATGGTCCCTATGACGTGTAGTCGTATCCGAAACAGACACTTGTCTGTCCAAGGTCCTATGTCGTGTAGTCGTATCCGAAACAGACACTTGTCTGTCCAAGGTCCTTTGACGTGGAGTCGTATGCGAAACAGACACTTGTCTGTCCAAGGTCCTATGACGTGTAGTCGTATCCGAAACAGACACTTGTCTGTCCAAGGTCCTATGACGTGTAGTCGTATCCCAAACAGACACTTGTCTGTCCAAGGTCCTATGACGTGTAGTCGTATCCGAAACAGACACACGTCTGTCCAAGGTCCTATGACGTGTAGTCGTATCCCAAACAGACACTTGTCTGTCCAAGGTCCTATGACGTGTAGTCGTATCCGAAACAGACACACGTCTGTCCAAGGCACCATATGACCATTTACGTTATACAAGTCAGTGGAACACCTGTATGGCTGTGATCTATAACCCCCCCCCCACCCCCCTCCCCCCACCCCCACCCCCAGCTGGCTACGACACTGTATCGAAAACTGCTCTTCATGATGCACATTAAGGTTCGCGTCACATCTCTTACAGTGTCGACAATACTTCTTCACGGTACTACGTAGTGAATGAAATTAAACTGTATCGGTGGGGCGACATTCAGCGTGACGCAAAATGAAAACCACATAATACTTGGCTGCTTTGCCGTGTGTGCCGGGTGGTCTACCCATAAACTCACTCACTGGTTAGAATAGGTCTCCAGCAACCCATGCGTGCCGTAAAAGGCGACTATGCTTGTCACAAGCGGTGACTAACGGGATCGGGTGCTCAGGCTGGCTGACTTGGTTGATGCATGTCATCGATCCCAATTGCGTAGATCGATGCTCATGATGTCAGTCACTGGATTGTCTGGTCAAGACTCGATTATTTACCGATCGCCGTCATATAGCTGGAATATTGCGTTAAACAATGGACAAAACCAACAAACAAAAACCGGGTGCCGGGTGGTCTACCGATAAACTCACACAAAAAGGG